CAGCCAGCAACACAGCAAAACCCCACTACAAAGACAAATTAAAATTAGCCAGGTGTGGTGGCACATACCTGTAGTCCTAGCTACTTGGGAGGCTAAGGCAGGAGGACCTCTTGAGTCCAGGAGTTTGAGGCTACAGTCAGCTATGATAGTGCCACTGCACTCTAGCCTGGGTAACAGAGCAAGACCCTGTCTTTGAAAAACAGTAACAACAACAACAACAAAAAACAAATAGAAACTCAGTAAAGGCACCACCATATACACCAAACAGAATAGCTACTATTAAATAGAGAATATGGAGCATTGGAACTCTCATTTGCAGCTAGCAAGAATGTATGACTTGGTACAATCACTGTGGAAAACTGTTTGGCGATATTTACTAAAACTAAACAATTACCTATCCTACTATCTAGCAGTTTCACTTCTAGATACGTACCCAAGAGAACTGAATGCACATGTCCCCCAAAAGACATATACAAGAATGTTCACAGCAGTTTTATTCATAACAGCCCAAACTGGAAGCAACCCATGTCCATTAACAGCAGAAAGAATAAATAAATTGTGGAATATTCATATAATAGACTACTACTATACAAAACAACAACAACAAAGAAGCAAAATAAAAACCAAAGTACTGGTACATGCAAAAACTTGGATAAATCTCAAAAGCAGACCAAAAAATGCTATAATTCTATTATTTCATTCATATGAAGATTAAGAAATGGCAATAATTACAGAAGTCAGAACAGTGGTTATCTGGCAGAAGGAGTGGTACTGACTGGGAAAGGGAGCCACCAAGGATGCTGAAAATGTTCTAATCTTGATCACCAAGTGGGGGTTATATAGGCATACCTATGTGTAAAATTGTATTGAGTTGTATACCTAAAATCTGTATAACTTACTGTGCATGTTTACCTCAATGGAAGAATCAGTAACAGAATATATTTTTATGGTTTGTTCATGTAAACAAATCCTATTTAGAGTAGCAGGAGTTGCCTGCTAAATATATCCTCAAACTACAAAATAAGAGCAGTGATTCTGATACTCAACTGGATTCTGTATTCTATGATTTTCAGATCTGCATATAAACTTCTCCTACATACACTAATGAAATGCTTTAAACATCTCAAGTTCTGAAGTCTTAAACAATTTCTCACCACCAAAGTAATATTTTACAGTCTGGACTTTAATTATGAACACTGCACAGGAGTCATCCCTTTCAAAAATGGGAAAAGCCCATAAATATATTGCTAATTTGAGCCCTGCTGCTACTCTGTTCTGAGATTCCTCATACTCAGGGCTCTAAGTACTTAGAAAAGACTCAGGAGTTAGTGTACAAACGCAGTACTGACGCCATTACTGTTTGTTTGTGTTTCTTTCTTTTCTTCCCTTTACTAAGGATTGAATATACTGGAGTAATTAAACTTATAATTTTTCCTTAAGAAGGAGATGGGGGAAAGCAAGCAATCCAACAGTCAACAAAGACCACTTACAGTGGTAAGAAGCTCATCCTGAAAAATTAAAAAAAAAATTCCTGTACATCTCTAAGACTTTTGGAGGACTCTCAAACTCTACAGCAATTATGGGAAGAATGTCATTAACAAAACTTCAAATACATTATTCTTAAAAAGGCTTCATCTATAAATTTAAACGTGAAAGTTGTGATGCCATTTCTCTTCAGGTATATAACATTTTAATAAGCTCCTCTACGAGCTGGAGAACAGTTGCTTAATTTAGGAAAAAAAGGCCTCAAACTTTTCCTAGGCTAAGTAATTCCATGCAGTTTTTTCCCCAAAATTCCTTTGCCTGGCAACTATACTTCTGAAAAAAAAAAATCATAAAGAAAGCATAAACACTGCTCAACAAACATGTTCTCAGGAGTTTTTTAAAATGAATTTCAAAAACCTGGAATGCCAACAGTAATAGGAACTCGTGGCAAAGCAATTCACTGTGCTTCTTAAAATAGAGTATACTGTAGGAATCAAATAGGTTTTAGAATGATATTTAGGAATATGACAAAGCATGCACAATACGTTAGGTTTTTTAAAAGCATGTTACTACATAGTATATATACACATTCTAAATTTTGTGTAAACATGTATGTGTATAGAAACAAAGTAACTGTGCTAAAATGTAAACTGTGGTTCTCTTTAGGTGGCAGGGTTATAGGTAATTTTTAATTTATTCTTTCTTGAGCATTTAAACTTAATTTATATTGATTTTGTGCTTAGATATTTTTTAGTCTTGTTAATACTAAGTTCAGGTTGGATTGTAAGTGACCTGTTTGTCTTCCTCCTAACAGTAATCATCAAGTTCAATTATAATTGGTCCATTACTTAAATGCTCAAACTTTGGGTTTTTTTTGTTTTGGTTTTTTTTTTGAGATAAGCCGAGATCACACCACTGTACTCCAGCCTGGACGACAGAGTGAGACTTGGTCTCAAAAAAACAACAAACAAACAAACAAATTCTCAATTCCATTCAGGCATTTAAAAGGTATTTGTAGAAAGGCTGTACTATGAGTTTTTGTGGAGGGGGGGGCTATCCATTAAAAACACAATAAATAAGATGCAGTGTAATGTGAAGGTTGATGTATCTGCCTTGATGTAACATGCCTCTGAAGCTGGCATGCAATGGGCTTTAAAATACAATGTTTACTGTCATTATCAGCCTAAACAGTAATTTAACTAATCCGTGGTTCATTTGAGATGTCTGTATTTGCCACACACAATCCAAATAGCTGCAGTCATTGGTTGGAAGGTAGTCCCTATGGAAACATCAATATGCAAAGAAGGGCAAGACCTGAAATCTTCTGTTAACTCTCCACCCAGCTGTTAAGTGCATTTGTGAAATGAGAGTTGACCTATAAGTGCACTGTAATGTTTTAAAATGTAGTGTTTATAAAAAATCAATATGGTTAGGAAAGTGTACTAATTAGACAGCATCCGAGCAATTACAAAGTCAGTATTATGTCAACATACATTTTTATTACCCTGAGTCTAGTATTCATCTAAGACAGAGACCTCTCAATTTCCTATTAAACATGTCCTTCCCAAATTGCCAGCTTAAATCAATCAATATCTTCTCCTTGAATTCTGTGGTTAAATAAATGAGTGAAAGGTAGTAGGAGTAAATTCAGAAGAAAAATAATAGATTCTGTTTCAAATGAAAACCGATATTGGTACAGTTGTAGAACTTAATTAAGGAGCACATGGCATAGTCTCTCCCTCCTCAACTAAAAGTCAAAGTAGGATAATTGAAAAGGCAGGGGAAGCAAAAGTAATTTTAATACCATATACACTGAAGTACATCTCCAGGTGATCTGACATAACAGTGGATGTCCAGGAAATAATTACAGTAAATAGATACTGACCAACTATAAAAAGTAAGTTTGCTCCCTTTAAACAAGGGCTTGACTATCACAGTGACTACGGTCACAAATAAAAGTACATTAAGTAGTTGTGGTTTCCATTAACCAAGAATCTAAAACTAATGTGCACACAGGGTAAAAGGTGGCTGTTCTCAAAGTGCTATTTCTGGCCACATAGATTTTACATGAGGACAGCCATTTTCAAGATCAACAGCAAATAATGTGCCCAAATGTGTGAACCTGGCTGGTGAGTTTTCTAGTTTCCTATAAACATTCTAATTCTGTAGTATATACATGAAGAAATGAATTCTACATAATGTAGAAGTTAGAATGGTTCTTATAGATCCTTGCGCTGGTAAGAAAATTCTGGGCTTTTTGTTTTGTTTTGTTTTGTTTTTATAGCATTCTTGCAGTTAAACACAAAAACTTTGCCAGGCTATTCAAGAAAAATTTTCTAAGCTAGTCCAACATATCTCTATGCAACATTTTGAACTATATACTTGACATATATTCAAAGGTAAATTATACTGTTTAATGGTTTGGCCAGAAATAAAAGGCAAGACATGAAAAATTACAAAATCCAAAGGAAAAGTCACAATCTCATTCTACAGCAGATCTGCAGGTAAATTCTGATCCAATTTATCTTGGGAACTACAAGAACAAGTATGCAGCCTTCCTTCTAGAAGTAGCAGCAAAAAGTTCATTTAAGTGAAATGCACACATTAACTGAAGATTTATAACATCTTATGTACTAGTTCTACTTCTACCCATAGCCACTGATGTCTCTCGCTTGGATATCCCATAGGCCAAACCTAAACTCATCACCTTTTAAATCCCAAACCAAGGGTTCTCTATCTTACTTGGTCAGGTTAGAAATCTCAATGTATCCTTGACTCACTCTTCTACTTTACTGACTAAAACTCAAAAGTAAGACATGTTGATGGTATCTGAATCTGTTTTTCTTCATCTCCACTGCCACTATTCAGTTCACTGTATCATCATCACTCATCAAATAATTTCTTTTGAAGTGTGGTCAAATGTGTCAACTCTTTTCCATAGCCTGGATTCTCACTGGAGGTAAAATCACATTTATTGTTTTTGGTGGATTAGCCTGGATACTGTTTTCCCTTGGAGATTAGCATAGTCAGTGAAGAATCATAGGAGTAATAATAAAAGACCAAACCGCTGCTCAGGCGTGCTGCCACACACTTGTAATCCCAGCACTCTGAGAGGCTGAGGTGGGTAGATCACTTGAGCCCACGAGTTGGAGACCACCCTGGGTAACATGGCGAAACCCCGTCTCTACTAAAAATACAAAAACTGAGATGGGAGGAGCACCTAAGTCTGAGCCTGGGGAGACTGAGGCTGTGGTGAGCCGTGATGATGTCACTGCACTCCAGCCTGGGTGACAGAGTGAGACCCTGTCTCAAAAACAAAATAAAAACAAAAAACATATTATACACATGAAAAAGATTGTAATACATATTATTTGATGTTGATCTTGAAGATGTCTGTCCTAATGTACAATTTAGGTGGCCATAAAGTAAAACACATAAACCCATTCATGACAATAACAAAGGAAAGGAAGAAGGGAAGTGTTATGATCAGATGAAAAATAAATAGCTAGGTTTACCGGAATGCTTGATTCAGAATTTGATAATGAAAATGTTCTGGTGCCAATCCTATGACCACAGCATTAGGATCACTTGTTTGTATTCCTGGGAAGGGAAAAAAATAAAAAAAGGATTGTTGAAAATGCAATTAAAAGCAATGCCACATTTAAAACACAGCAGTTTTAGTCAATCAAGTGCAAACTTTTGCTATAGCCATAATCTAAAATTTAATAGATTATCCTGCCCAGTGTACTTTGGAAGTATAAGAGAGAGTACACAGAAGGAGAGGGAGAGGGAGAAGAGGGTTGGGAGGGAAAAAGAGAGAAAATCTAACATTTTTCCACATTCCTTGTGCATAGTCTTAAGGGCACTCAGTAACCAGAAGATCTGAATTGAAAATTGTAACCTGATGTCCTCAAACAAATGACAATTTCTTACTTCAAAATGCTTTGCTGATTACAATCAACAAGAACTGCCATGAGTTCCCTATAAACTATCAGATCAATAGCAACTGATTACGGACTGAGAATCTAAGAGGCAAGGGAAATTAGACTTTCTAATTGACACAACTGAGGTTAACACATTCATGATTAATATGAAATGCACTGCAGAGTCTACAATTTTCTACATAATGCCTTATCTACTTTTAGTTTCAGAAATATTATTTTAAAATTAAAGTATGTTTTAAGGCCTTGGCATCTTAGAACTTCAGACATGACAATCAAACAACTACATTCTCCATTACAACTTTATTTATTTATTTTTGAGACGGAGTTTCGCTCTTGTTGTCCAGGCTGGAGTGCAATGGTGTGATCTCGGCTCACCGCAACCTCCGCCACCTAGGTTCAAGCAATTCTCCTGCCTCAACCTCCCAAGTAGCTGAGATTACAGGCATGTGCCAACCACACCCAGCTAATTTTGTATCTTTAGTAGAGACGAGGTTTCTCCGTGTTGTTCAGGCTGGTCTCGAACTCCCGACCTCAGGTGATCCGCCCGCCTCAGCTTCCCAAAGTGCTGGGATTACAGATTTGAGCCATCACGCTTGGCCTCTCCATTATAATTATTAAAAGTCTGATTAAAGGTTCCATGGATTATCCATATGCCAATTCCTATTTGCCTCTCTTATTGGCTGCAGATATCCAGGCTTTCCAACTTCCTCCTTACCAGTAGCCATGAGTATTCTCCAGTAGTTTCTTTGCTAACACAATAAGCTATTCCAGACTCATCTGATACCTGTCCAGATCTGCAATCAGTAATTTCTCCAAAGAACTACAGTGGGAATTGACACAGATACCAGTCTGAGCACTGGGTTGTCATTACTTTAGGCTTTTCCAGCAGAAGATTACACAATATGTATTATTTAAGAGAAAAAGGAGTTGGTAACTATATTTTCTATTCAAAAGTAGTAATACACAACTTTTACTTAACTAACTTGATTTTTATTATTTGCATCTCTTTTCACTGACACTAAAATCTAATAGTTACTACTTTGCTTTGTCCTATATATACCTTTAATTAAAAAAAAAAAACAAAACAGTATTACTAAAAACAATAAGACTCCTGAATGCAGTTTAAGATCTCTTTGTAGTTCTTTTGTCCTTAGAATTTATCCCACTATGAATGAACAGGTGAAAATACTGTACTTTAAAGTCATTTGAAGTAATTATTTTCTCAGAGTGGTTATGTCACCAACCTGATACAGAGTTAAGTTCATTTCTATTTGGAGGCTGGTTTTTCACTTAATTGTCTTTTTATTGTATACAATATTCACACGGTTCCAAAGTCAAAACTATGTAATGGGGACTTTTTTAAAAGCCTCCTCTCTTAATCCATCCCCCTCCTCCCTTGCTTCCCCTTTAGGTAACCATTTTTATTAGTTTTTCATTTATCCTTCTTTGGCTTCCTTTTACAAATATAAGACAAATATGTATGTATATCCATTTTCTTTTCATTTTCCTACACAGAAAATGTATAAAGATTTCTACACCTTACTTTTTTCGTTTAATATATCCTATGCAGAGCACTCCTTATCAAGAGATAGAACTCTTCATCATTATTTAATTTTCAGCTACAAAGCATTCCATTTTGTGAATATATCACAGTTTATTCAATCAGTCCCTTCTGATGAATATTTGGGTTGTTTCCAATCTTTTGTTATTACAAATAAGGTAGTAATGAATAACCTTGTTCATATGTCATTGTGTATTTTTGTATCTATATTTTAGAGAGAGATTCTTACAAGTGCTGCTTCATATGTAATTTTGCCAGCTACTGCCACATTCCTCTCCATAGGCTTTGTGTCATTTTATATTCCTGTCAGCACTCAGATGCTTTTAATAAATTTATTTTCTGTTTAATTCAGCAAAGTTGGTTTCTGTTTCTTGCAAACAATAATTCTGATACATTGGCATATTTCCTATTAGTACTAGTTTTGAGGTCTGCCCAACTCTATAGCCATGTTGAACTTATACTCCATTTTCTATATTGTGCTACTGCACTCCGAGTATCCTCAGAAAAGAAGTAATGTGGCAAAGCTTCATAAAACTATGATATTCTTCCAGAATCTGTTGACTTTTCCAAAGAGAAACACTTTTCTCTTGATTGAAAAATATTTCATATTCAGTGTAAAAACTTCACACTATCCAGAATAACATTAAACAAAGAGATCCTGGTATATCTCATTTAATCAAGTTAATATAGCGGCTCCTGCATTGAGGATTAGCTGACCTGTGTTTTTTCAAACCATGGGTCATGATCTATTATTAGATTGTAAAACTAATTTGGAGGGCTCTAAGCATCATCATAATCAAACAAAAAAATCAAACCAAAAAGAAAATAGAATACATGTTATACAGCAAGAGTAAGTATTGCTTAACTTATACAAAGACACACACACAGATACATATTAGGTTACTATGTAATGTGTTTCACTTACTATGGATTACAGTCAAAAAAGGTTTGGGAAATGCCAATTTAGATCCAAAATATCAGTATTATCAAATGTTTCAACAATAACGGGGAAATCAGAATAAACATCTCTAAACATCCAGTTTTAAAAATGATTTGTAAGTACATATAAATATCCAGTCTTTAAACTTTCCAAGTTTCCCCTACCTTTGAAATCAGGTAGTGCCCGATCATCAACTAGCAGCATGGGTCTGACTTGTTTCTGCTCTAGTAAACTTCTGGCTGCAGTCAGAGATGTGAATATTTCATTTTCAGAGATATCAAATTCCAATTTTCTCAACCTTTCCAACAGGTCTTGCTTGCTCTCTTTGGTCGTATTGGTCACAAACCTAACGATTACAGAAGCACCACGTAACCTGGAGAGGGCAAAATTCAGATGTCAAAAGGCAGCTTTTACATTCCGGCCCTATAGAATCTCCTTATTTGTTAAAACTGTGCCAAATGTTTTTATGGCCAGCAACATGACAATGTCTAGCCTCTTGCCCCTCCAGAATGGCAGCTTTATAGTTTACATAGCTACTTACAGATGTCAATGTTCACCAGATGTAAAAAGATTTTTCTTTCAATCTACAGTAGAAAGCTCATCTTTAAAGTAGTAAAAGCTCTGTCCAACAGGAGCACACTGATTAACAGACATCCATTCCCCTAAAAAAGGCTAACTCAGACAGAAACCATGTCAAGGAGTCAAGATAAAGTCCAACTATGCAATAGATTTTTTTTTTACTTTAAACAACACGTTGTCCACTAAGCTTCTCCACCTATAAAATGAACATCATGACTCCTAACTAAATTGATAAACCCCAACTGATGCCTGCCAGATATATAAGTATGTATTTCTTGATTCCCCAAACGAAAGGTAAGCTCCTTGAAAGAAAGTGAGGTTTGTGTCAATCTTTTGCCCTAATACCTGGCACTGTGATATGAGTCACTAGATTTTCTGATTAACACCATCCTATGAACATTTTAAGGTTGGAAAAAACGTACCACATACTAAATATTGCTGATTTTGAAAACTTCTCTAAATTATTTTAGGATAAAGATCCTTAATATACGTTATTAGTTCTGTTGTGATGAGTTGATTTTTTTTTCAGGACACCCAGAAGCAAACATTCACATTCCTCTTACTTTAACACACCTTTACTGGGTATCTCATTTGTATCTAGACTTCTGTTTAGTACTGCGGTTGGTAGATGAGAAATATAAGACAGTCCTTAACCTTTAAAAGCGTTTAGTTGATGGAAATAATTTAAAAATTTCAAGTTCTTTAGCTAAACTTTATTTGAGGAGCTGCACAATCAATGTTAGACCTTAGGTAAAACAAGAGAAAGCAGCACTATGCCTGTCTGTGTGTGCTTTATTTTGTGATTCCAAGATTCATTTGTGATTTTTTCCAATGGTATTTATTCCATATTGTAGAATCTTGAGTTGTCGTTCCCACATTTACATTACTGACTTAGAAAATGACATACACATAGAACAAAAAGACTGGAACAAAAGGCCAAACCTAATAAAGCCTTAGAAAACAATGTTTGGAGGAAATTATAATGCATACATCCTCAAGCTAAACCCAAGGCAGTTCCTATATATGGTAAGTTGGTAAAATGCCATCTTAAGGCCATCCATTTAGCTAATGATCTGCCGTGGTAAAATGGCACTTACAAACATATTTGTCAGCTGAACCTGGAGGATAGCTTGCCTTTTAAGAGCTTCCTGTGCGCCTGGCACAGCTGCATCTTCAATGTGAAGTGTGCCACTGAGATCTACCAAAACAGCTTTTAATGCACGGCGTGCTGCCATCCTTCATTCCCTAGGAGAGAGCAAATGAAATTAAAAATACAGTTTAGGAAACAATGGACAATTAAAAACTGCTAAGTCTTCAAAAATATCACTCATATCCAGAAAGATCCTGCTTAGTGTTAAGCCGCTTCCATTTTGGAGAAAACTGGTTTTAAAAATTACAAATCCAAAATTTGATCCATAAACTTTTACAATACTTAGGTTTAAAAAAAAAAAAATCACTTGAATGAAAACTATAGGAAGGAAAACGCTTACAGAGATATCATTATTTACTTTCAGGTTTTTAAAAAGAACTCTGGTGAACCATTCATTTATTTTTAAACATGAGAATAATGTACTCTAAAGAATGGGTAGATGAAAGGACTAAATCATTAGCATAGTCTTCTTCATCTTTGGTAATGTATAATGAAAATATTCTAATTGCCCTTCTTTGCTCCTGTAACCTGAAACAGAATACATGGCTCTCCCTCGTCTACCACTACCACTTCCTTCTTCTGCCACTCCTGGTGCATATATGGTACCTCTTTTGTGAAGCAGCAGCTGAGGAGACTCTGGCAGTCACTACGGCCAACAAAAAGCCCAAGGAAGAAGTCAAAACTGAGAACAATGATCACATTAATTTGAAGGTGGCCGAGCAGGATGGTTCTGTGGTGCAGTTTAAGATTAAGAGGCATATGCCACTTGGTAAACTAATGAAAGACTAATGTGAATGACAGGCATTGTCAATGAGGCAGATGAGATTCCAATTTGATGGGCAATCAATCAATGAAACAGACACACGTGCACATTTGGAAACAGAAGATGAAGATACAATGGATGTGTTGTGTTCCAGTAGCAGACAGGAGGTGTCTAGCGAAAAGGGAACCTGCTTCTTTACTCCAGAATTCTGTTCTTACAGACGAAGATTACATTCTCAATCAAAAAATGGCAATTTGATTCCACCACATCCTGATGACTACAGTAGTTTTCTCTATTCTTTCATTTCCTCCTTCCCCATTCCTTTATGGTACCTAAAGTAATTGGTATATGTGCACAAGCATATTGCACTTTTTAAACTAAATAGCCAGTGGTATGTTCTAACTGACATCAAGTGGAGATGGGATGGGGAAAAACACTGATTCTGTGAAAATACCCTTTCTCCATTAGTGGCATATTCATTCAGCTATCTTTACATTTCAGTAAGTTATTTTGCTCTGTTTTAACACCACCACCAAAAACCCCATAAAAATCCCTGCATATCTTGTTCAATTAGAGAATTTTAAGGTTTTTCATTTATCAATGTAAAACCAAAGACAATTTTATAACTTTTCCTGCATAGCTGTTACATACAGGGCAATCTGTCTTTAAGTAGGGATAAATTACTCAAAAAAAAAAAAAAATTCTAGTTTTCCCTTCAAGTCAAGCATCTTGGTGTTTACATAAACTTCTTGTTTAAAAAAAAAAAAAAAAGAATTGGGCTGGGCGCGGTGGTTCAGCACTTTTGGGGAGGCCGAGGCGGGCAGATCACTTGAGGTCAGGAGTTCAAAACCAGCCTGGTAAAACCACATCTCTGCATCTCTACTAAAAATACAAAAATTAGCTGGGCATGGTGGCAGGTGCCTGTAATGCCAGCTATTAGGGAGGCTGAGGGACAAGAATGAGGCAGGAGAATCACTTGAACCTGGGAGGCAGAGGTTGTAGTGAGCCAAGATCGCACCATTGCACTCCATGCACTCCAGCCTGGGCAACAGTGGGAGACTCTGTCTCAGAAAAAAAAAAAAAAAAAGGTTCCTTTACAGTGGAAAAACCTGCCAGATAAACTTTAAATCAAATGATCAAATTAACACCAGTAAAAACAGACAAACCAACATCATGTGCTTCCTGAGAGAGAAAACATCACCTGTGTAGGATTCCTAGTTAAATGTTCAACCCAACTTGAATCACAAGGGAAAAGTCAGGCAATTCAAATTAAAGAAAATTGTACAAAACAACTGACTGGGTAAGGAACTGTATCAATTAAAGGAGTCTGAAAAGACACGGCAACTAAATGCAATGCATGAGAGTAATATAAAGCCAATGGAGCAAGGAATAACAATTAGTGACTTTAGGTGAAGAATATACGGTTTTTACTGCACTATTACAAACTTTCAACATAAAAAGTTTGAGAAAAATACTAGATCTCTTATCAAAGTGGGCAAAAGAATGATGTTTTCATACCTAATAACAGTGTGATATATAACTATACAAAGTGTTTTTGTCCACGATTCCTGGCTCATAACTCCCATACCCTTGGTTGAAGTGAACAGAATCTCTGACCTTCTCCTGTCCGCTTTTCACCTGCCCAAGGCAGAACTCTCATCTGATTGTGGGTCAAAAGACCCTCATTCCAGAGAGGTTCTGTCTCATACCCTGGAGGAAGGAATGCTGCAGAGGGATCAAGAATAATCTAAACAGGCCTTACTGGGTTTAGATCATGCCCTTTACATTCAATCACATTTTCACACAGTTGCACATACTTCAATCATACCTATCCAGTGAAGTCTCCATTGATAGGGCTCCATGGGGGCTTTTGGGGAGCTGATCACATGGAGGCTGACAGGAGGGTGAACAAGAATGCCCCTTCGTGCTGTGAGGGTGGCACACCCCAACTCCATGGGGACAGAAGCTCTCAGTGGGGACCCTTCCAGACCCTGCCCTATGTATCTCTTCATTTTGGCTGTTAATTTGTATCCTTTAATAAATCCTTTGTAATAAATTGATAAATGTAAGTGTTTCCCTAAATTTGGTGAGCTGTGCTAGCAAATTAATCAAACCCAAAGAGGGACGTGTGAAAACCTCAACTTGAAGCCAGTCGGTAAGAAGTTCCACAGGCCAGGACTCATGACTGGTGTCTGAAAATGGAGAAGGCAGTCTTGGAGACTAAGCCCTCAACCTGTAGGATCTGACACTACCTCCAGGCAGACAGTGTTGGAACTGTATTGGAGGACTCCCAACTGGTATCTGCAGCAGAACTGATTGCTTGCTTGCTGATGGGGAAAAATCTCCACATATTTTGGGGTCACAGAAGTCTTCTGTACTGACCGTTGCTGTGCTGGTGTGACAGCAGAGGAAAAACAGTTTGAATGTTTTCTTCAAGAATGATAATAGTTACACAAAATGAAATTCCATGTATCTACCTCATCCCCAACTTAAGAATAGAACTAATGGCAATATTGCTGAAGCCTCCTGTAAGAATCTGGTCAGTTAAATTTCCTGGAAGTAACTGGTACAATTAATTTGTGATAATAATTTTGTTTCTTTCCTTCATATTTTTTACCAATTGCTTAGTTTTACCATTTTCTTAGTTTTACCATTTTAGAATGTTATAAAAATGAAATCACAATGTACACATTCTTTCACAATTTTCATGATTTGTTTTGCTCAACATTGTATTTCTGAGATTCAGCCATGTTGGTGCCTTTTATACTCTACCAAAAGCAAAACCAAGATCCACCCTTTGGGATTATGACTAGAACTGCATTTAATCTACAGGGCAGTATCAGGATAACTTATTTTTAAAGGAAATAAGATCATTATTATATTGCCATCCTATCCATCAACATACTGTATCTCTCCATTCACATAAGTTTTTTAGTTTTATAAATATCTACATAAATGGCTTGCATATATTTGTAGACACAACTCTATCATTGCTATAGTATTTTATATTACCTTTTCTAACAGTTTGGTGTTGCTGTATTAAAATACATTTTTTGGTTGTTGTTGTTGTCTTATATCCTTTAACCATTCCAAACTTTTTTTTTTTTTTTTTTGAGACAGGGCCTTGTTCTGTCACCCAAGCTGGAGTGCAGCTGCATGATCACAGCTCACTACAGCCTCAACTGCCCATGCTCAAGCAATCCTCTCACATCAGCCACCCAAGTAGCTGTTATCACAGGCATGCACCACCACGCCTGGCTAATTTATTTTTTCTGTAAAGATGGGGTCTTCCTATGTCTCTTAGGCTGGTCTCCAACTCCTAAGCTCAAGTGATCCTCCCACCCTGGCCTTCCCAAGTGCTGGGATTACAGGTGTGAGGCACCACACCTGGCCACAAACTTTAATTCTAAAATAAGAAAAAAAGAAAATTGTCACTTGTAGTTGGTAATTATTATCTACATAGAAAATTATTGTCTACATAGAGAATTTTCTATGTAGTCAATAATTACCAACCACAAGTGATAATTTCTATTTTTCTTATTTTCTGTTTTATTATTCTAATTAGGAACTCCATAATTGAATAGAAGTAGTGATAGCATGTATCCTTATTATATTCTTGATTTTTTAAAGGAATATTTTTAGTATTCATACATTAAGTAAGCTTGTTGTAGGACTCTGCTGATATTTTAGCCATTTAAGAAAGTTCCCTTCTACTTCCTGTTGCTAAGAATTTTTGTCATAAATGGCTATTGGATTTTACCTACTACTTTTTCTGTATGCAATGAGATGATCACATTTTTTCCCCTTAAGTTGTCAATGAGGTCAATTAATATTAAGTAAATCCTGCACAAATCCAATGCAGTCCTGATATATTATCTTTTTTTACTTACTGCTAGATTCAAATACTAAAAGATTAGAAACAACCTAAATGACCATCAACAGAAGGCTAGTTTAATAAATTATGGTATTTGTCAGGTTTTTCCACATTCAGTATTTTTCCCTTTCACATTTTATTCTTTGGGGCTGAGTCATTAAAGAGGGTAGGGAGGAACTAAACTCTACCTTCTAAAAACAGGAGTATCCTCATATATTATTTCAAATTCTTCAGTGAGAAAGACTTGTTCTCTATTGATTTACTCAATCATTTATTTATGTAATCTGTATGGGCTCACAGATATTTATTCTGTTCTTTGTGCCATAAGCTAATACTATGTCACTTATTTTGTCGCTGAAATTGTTTTAGCTTTGGTCATTGAGAGCTCTCTCAGGTTGGCTCCTGTGCTTCCATCCTTTTGTTTTTTGAGCACTTCTTTGCTTTTGGAACTACATGAT